AAAGTGTTAAGAGAAAATTGTTATTGTAGAATTTTACTACCAGTAAATGTTTTTCAAGAAGGAAAATAAAATACAGACGTTTTCAAACAGAGTATGGATCATTATTTATAAGAGATGGTCACTGAAGAAATGTCTGAAAAATGTACTTTAAGAATAAGGAAACTAATTCCAGAAGGAAAAATGACAGGCAAGCATGTGAGAAAAATCTAAACAAATATCATTCAAAACAAAAATTAGGATGCTTTATATTAGAGATTCTTAATGAGAGAAACTCTTGAACATGTATACCAAGAAACATTTGCAAAAATGCTCAGAATGGCTTTTTGAGTAGTAGCCAAGAATATAGAAAAAAATACTTAGTACTCATTGACAACAAAACGTATAAATTAATTTTGCCGTATTCATGCATTAGCTATTAGACAGCAGCGAAAATGAATAAACCGCAGCTATTTGCATCAACATGAATGAAGTTAAAGAAGGTAATACTGAGTCAGAAAAGCAGATTTCATGCTGGGCGTGGTGACTCACGCCTGTAATCCCAGTGCTTTGGGAGGCTGAGGTGGGCGAATCACTTGAGGTCAGGTGTTTGAGACCAGCCTGGCCAACATGGTGGAATGCTGTCTCTACTAAAAATACAAAAAATTAGCTGGGCGTGGCGGCGTGCACCTGTAATCCCAGCTACTGGGGAGAATCCCTTGAACCCAGGAGGCGGAGGTTGCAGTGAGCCGAGATTGCGCCACTGCACTCTAGCCTGGCCTGGGCGACAGAGTAAGATCTGTCTCAAAAATTAAATAAATAAATAAATAAAAATTAAAAAAAAAAATAAGATTTCAGAGAACATTCATTTTATCCTATTCTTATAGAGTTTAAAAATAGACAAAACATAATTATACACTAACTCATTCAGGCTTACATATATGTGCAGTGAAGCTAAACTAAAAAGAAGGAATAATAAATAAAAAATTCAGTCACAGAGGCAAAAGTGATTCGTTTAGAAAACACAGGATTTGGCCTGGCGCGGTGGCTCACGCCTGTAATCTCAGCACTGTGGGAGGCTGAGGCGGGTGGATCATGAGGTCAGGAGATCCCAGACCATCCTGGCTAACACGGTGAAACACTGTCTCTACTAAAAACACAAAAAAATTAGCCGGGCATGGTGGCAGGCGCCTGTAGTGCCAGCTACTCGGCAGGCTGAGTCAGGAGCATGGCAAGTGAATCCTGGAGGCAGAGCTTGCAGTGAGCCGAGATTGCGCCACTGCACTCCAGCCTGGGCAACACAGCGAGATTCCGTCTCAAAAAAAAAAAAACAAAAAAACAAAAAAACAGAAAGAAAACACAGGATTCAAACTATTAGTACACCTTTACTTCTTTTTTTTTTTTTTTTTTTTTTGAGACGGAGTCTCGCTCTGTCGCCCAGGCTGGAGTGCAGTGGCCTGATCTCAGCTCACTGCAAACTCCGCCTCCCGGGTTCACGCCATTCTCCTGCCTCAGCCTCCCGAGTAGCTGGGACTACAGGCGCCCGCCACCTCGCCCGGCTAGTTTTTTGTAGTTTTAGTAGAGACGGGGTTTCACTGTGTTCACCAGGATGGTCTCGATCTCCTGACCTCGTGATCCACCCGTCTCGGCCTCCCAAAGTGCTGGGATTACAGGCTTGAGCCACCGCGCCCGGCCACACCTTTACTTCTTTAGCTAAATGATGGGAAAGGTATTTTATCATTATTGTACTTTTAAATGTATATATTTCACTATACTTTTCTTATATATCTTATAATAATGTTTGTAGTGGCTGAATAAATGAGGGAATGCTAAGTATCTACTGTTGTAGACATACTACATATCTGAATATTATAATTTTGATCAGCATAAATAATTTTCATTCATGTATTCTTTTATGCATGCAAAAGTATTCTTTTGATTCCACAGGTCTATAATCTGATGGTAGAGTAGACTCTGAAAATAGATGGAGCTTATTATTTAGCAGACAGAGCAGGTAATAAAAAGATGCTGAAAAATGGAAAATGTTACATACTGATAAATGCCCAGGAAAAAACAAGTAGGATAAAAACAAATGGCTAGAGAGTGCCTTGGGGAGTATCGCTATTGAGGGGAAGAGTACTTTATATTAGAAGAAAAAAGGAAGTTCCCTCTAAACAGGTGACCCTGGGTGATCTGAAAACATTGGCTATTTAAATCAGAAACTGAGGACAGGACCATGAACTTATAGTTGCATTTATAGATCCTGAAGTAAGTTGCATTATTTGAGTGTCCTAGTGTCAGCAACCTGTCAGTATTTATCATTCTCTAACAATTTAAGTGCAATCATGGATAACGGGCAATTAAACAAAAAAAGACATGTTAGTCTAAATTACAGAAAAAGGAGTAGACTGACATTTGGAAATCTTGTGTTCTAGGTGGACAAATTATGCAATTTTCTACATCATCAATTCTATCGATTATAAAAGATAGAATTGGATTGGATGATGTCTAAGATTCTTTGAGTGTAAAACTCTAAAAGTGTATGAGGAAATAAAGGCCAATTTGGAGTTTTGTTTTGTTTTTTTGTTTTTTTGTTTTTGTTGTTGTTGTTGTTGTTGTTTTTTGATAGATTCTAGCTCTGCTGCTAGGCTGGAGTGCAGTGACGCAATCTCGGCTCACTGCAACCTACAACTCCAGGGTTCAAGCGATTCGCCTGCCTCAGCCTCTGTCACGCCTGGCTAATTTTTGTATTTTTAGTAGGGATTTTGCCATGTTGGCCAGGCTGGTCTCAAACTCCTGACCTGAGGTGATCTGTCTGCCTCAGCCTCCCAAAGTGCTGAGATTATAGACGTGAGCCACCATGCCCAGCCAAGGATTTTTTTTTTTTAAGAAGTTATCATTTAGAGTAAGTAAAATACATATATGGGTGTGTAAGAATTATTCAAACTAGCTTGTGGCAACCTGACAATTATTAAAGCCATTAGTAAATACCAATGTGCCTGTTCACATATAAACCAAGCATTTCTTTAAAATGATAGAATTGTCATTAAAATATTTTGCATATTCAAATCAGTGATTATGATATATGGGTGTCACATGCATGAAGGTGGGGATTCCATTAGATGGTGATTCCATTATATAGACTTTCAGCTTCATAATGGGGTTTTCATTTGAAGCAGTCACAGCCACAAATTAATTTTCTATTAACTGATGATCTCATCAAGAATGAAGCAAAGGCTATTTAGGTTTCCCTGAATTTAGCAGTAGTTTCTCAGACTTTCACAAACCGCTGGTTTTAGCACTGAGTTGTAGGAGAGGAAAATGAAAAACAATCTGTTTTTATTTGTAGCGTGATTACAATGTCTGATTTTAGATGGAATCTAATGAACTTGGCTACTTTATAATTTTATCAGCCACCTTATCTCATAAAATTAGAAGAAGGCATACTGGGTCAACCTTTCATCAATTTACTAATTATAAGAATAATGTAGCATTCTTTGTTTCCTATTATCTTTGAATATTTTAATGAGATGAAACCTAGCTTTTCAAATGTACTGCTTCTACTGATTGTCAATATTTGACAGGTCAGTTAGAAAATGTGCCAAAGCATCTACACACTAGTTTTTCTCTCTTCCCTTCTATATTGTACTAAGTAGTGGAAACGTTTTTCCTCTATTATTATTTCACTGTATTGAAAAAAAATATTTGAAGTTGGAGTTTTTAAGGATGGTTAGTTGAAACGAACAAATTCTGTAAAATTTCATCTGACTGTAGCTTTAAAACATAAGAGCTTCATTGAGGCCAGGAATAGCTTCCAGGCTACAAATCAACAAATGACATTTTATAATTTTAGTTTTCATAATCCTTTTTAAAATCTGAATATGTATGTATTGTTTTCTCTCAGCACTCTTGTCTAAAGTCAACATCTACTTTGTGTAGATATAGAGGTTAACTTATGTTTAAGCATGACTTCAATTATGAGAATTGAAGTTAGAAGACCACATCTTGGCTATAAGTAATTAACACTCTTTGCATTTTGGGGAAATGAAAAATAATGAGCTATTTGAAGGGTAATAAAGGTATGTGAGGAAAGGTGAAGAGCTAGTCTATTTGCATGTTAATTAAATAGAATAAGGTTAATATTTTATACTATCATTTGTTTCAATAACTATATTTAAGCCCATTCAACCTGTCAGTGAGAGATAATGGGCTTCAAGTTCTGAAATGTAGAATCCTGTACTATTTTTCAAAGTGTGAGTAATTCAATATTTGTTCTGCATAAGGCTCTGGTAAATATAGGGTTTCTTTGTCAAATCAGTTTGGAAATTTCTAAATACTCTTTCATCTCTCAGAGAATTTTAACACACATTCTCAAATGAAGAGCTCTGAGAATTTATGCTAAAGAAAAATCTGTTTAACTTTACTTGACTGACATTTTCCTGCTATCCTTGCATATGGATCTCTTTTTGTTATGAATTTTTTTTTTCACATAATGCCTGTTACGTTTCTATAAAACTGGAAACATGGGGAAGCTTTGTGTGGTGATAATAGGATGAGTCTCACTTTTGTTTATAATAACAATAATTAATAGTATAACAAGTGACAATAGCTGACATTTATTAAGCACTTACATGTCAGATACTGTTCTAAGCTCTTTACATACATTAATTTGTTTAGTGCTGGAACAACTACCATTAATTAGGTATTTTAATTTTCCCTATTTTAAAAATGAGGAAACTGGGCCTCAGAGTCCACGAAATTCACTCCTGTATCTTAAACCCTAACTTTTCAAGGTGTTAGTCTGCTTCTCGGCTAAAATAAGAGACCCATTATGGAACTACATCTCAGTGTCCTCTTCTGCATGTGAAGCTCTGCATTTGTCAGAAGATTGTTGAGAAAAATAAAATTTCAACACAAATACCGATGCTGTTTATGGACTGCTTTCTATGAAAATAACAAAAAGTTCTCTCTGAAATGGAACTACACTTAGGACCTGAAATAATTATTTAAATTTTTATGGCCAGGGATGGTGACTCACACCTACAATCCCAGCACTTTGGAAGGCCGAGGCAGACGGATCACCTGAGGTCAGGAGTTCGAGACCAGCCTGGACAACATGGTAAACCGCATGTCTACAAAAAATACAAAAAATTAGCTGGGCGTGGTGGTGGGTGCCTGTAATCCCAGCTACTCCAGAGGCGGAGGCACAGGAATCGCTTGAACCCGGGAGGTTGAGGTAGCAGTGAGCCAAGATTGTGCCATTGTATTCCAGCCTGGGCAACAAGAGCAAAACTCTGTCTCAAAAAAAAAATTATGTTTATTTATGCTAATCTAAGCATATTTTGTAGTCATTTTACATATTTGGGCAAATACAAATAGCATAATTTTTAGATTAAATTTGTCCACAGTTTCATTTTGGAAGAGATGTTTCTGCATGAGACATAACTTTTCTTCTAATGCTGAGATTCTGTGATCAATTAAGCTGATGATGTAATTTAGTTTAATTTTAAAGATTCACCCTGAATATATTGAAGCTAACTACAAAATACATACTGTGGAAAACAAACCATTCTTATTTATCTTTTGCGTCCTAAAGCCACGACTTGAAGGAATCCTTCCCTGACTGCCCTTTCCTCCCCATTCTATACCCCTCTCCCACCATCTAATTAGGGTTCCAATAATATTTTTTAGGTAGCTTTTATTTTTTTACAGCAGTTTTTGGTTCACAGCAAAACTGAGCAAAAAGTAAAGAGTTCTGATGTATTCTCTGCCCCACCCTCACATAGCCTTCCCCACTATCAACATCTCACACCAGAGTGGTACATTTGCTAAAATCCATGAACCTGTGTTGATAAATCATCACTACCCAAAGTTCATAGCTTACTTTAGGGTTTGCTCTTAGTGTAACACATCCTATGCATTTTGATAAATGTATAATGACATATATCTACCGTAGTACCATATAGAACATTTTCACAACCCTAACATTTTTCTTTGCTTCATTTATTATATTTATTCTTCCTTTTCCTTAATCCTTGAAAATCAGTGACTATCTTTCTTTTGTCTCCAGTTTTGCGTTTTACAGAATGTCGAAAGAGTTAGAATCATTCAGTATGTCATCTTTTCATGTGGGCTTCTTTTACTTAGTAATCTGAATTTAAGGTTCTTTTATGTCTTTTCATGGCTTAATTGTTCTTTTTTTTTTTTTTTTTTTTTTTTTTTGCACCAGATAGTATTCTATTGTCTGCATGTGCCACAGCCTATTTACCCATTCACCTATTGAAGAACATTTTTGTTGTTTGCAAGTTTTGGCTATTAAGCTACTATGAATAAAGCTATTATAAGCATCTGTATGCAGGTTTATTGAGGATATAATTATTTAACTCATTTGAGTAAATACCAAGAAGCGCAACTGCTGGATGCTATGGTTAAGAGCATTTTTAGTTTTGTAAGAAACCTCCAAACTGTCTTCAAAAGTGTCTGTACTGTTCTGCCTTCCCACCAGCGATGATGGGATTCCCAATGTGCCGTATCATCAGTTTTTGGAGTTGTCAATGCTTTGGATTTTGGCCATTGTAATAGGTGTATAGTGACATATCATTGTTTTAATTTATAATTCCCTAACGATATGATGCTGTGCATGTTTTCATATCCTTGTGTGCCATCTGTATATCTTCTGTGGTGAGTTATCTATTCAGGTCTTTGTTTTTAATTGTATTTTTCGTTCTCTGATGATGATTTTTAATATTTATTTATTTTAGATAACAGTATTTTATCAGGTATACCTTTTGCAAATATTTTCTCCCAGACTGTGACTTATTTTCTCATTCTCTGATAGTGTCTGTAGCAGAGCAAAAGTTTAAATTTTAAATTTTGCAGAGTAAAATTTAAATTTTAATGAAGTCCAGCTTAGCAATTACTTTTTTGATTGTCTTCGGCCATTTGGGCTGCTATAACAAAATACCATACATTTAAAGCTTATAAACTGCTTGTAGCTTGTAAACATATTTTTTACAGTTGGGGATCCCAAGATCAAGGTGCCAGCATATTCAGTGTCTGGTGAGAATCTCCTTTCTGTTCATAGATGGTACATTTTAGCTGTGTCCTCACATGGTAGAAAGGGCAAGGCAACTCTCTGGAGCCTGTTTTATAAGGGCACTAATCCAATTCATGAGGGCCCTACTCTCATTATCTCATCATGTCTCAAATGCCCTACTTCCTACTGTCATTACCTTGGGGTTCAGGATTTCAACATATAAAATTTGGGGAGGATACAAACATTCAGGCCGTAGCAGTGTTATATCTAAAATGTCATTGCCATACCCAAGGACATCTAGATTTTCTCCCGTGTTATCTTCTATGAACTTTACAGATTTATGTTTTATAATAAGTCTATGATCTATTTTGAGTTAATTTTTGTAATGGGTGTAAGGTCTATGTTTAGACTCTTTTTTTTTTTTCCTTTTTGCATGTTGATGTCCAATTGTTTTAGCATCATTTGTTGAAAAGCCTATCTTTCCTCCACTGTATTGCTGTTGGTCCTTCATTGAAGATCAGTTGACTTACATAAGTCTATTCTGTTCCATTGTCTGTCTATTCTTTCCTTAGTACTTGTGCCTTAAATACTGTAGTTTTATAGTAGTCTTGGAGTCAGGTAGCGCCACTTCTTTGACTATGTTCTTCTTCAGTATTGTGTTAGCTATACTGGGTCTTTTACTTCTCCATGTACACTTTTGAATTAGTTTATTGATATCCTCAGAATAATGTACTGGGGTTTTCACTGGAATTATCTTGAATCTATAGGTCAAATTTCAAATAAATAATATCTTGACAATATTGAGTCTTTCTATCCATGGATATGGAATATATCTCAATTTATTTAGCTCTTCTCTGTTTCTTTTATCAGAGATTTGTAGTTTTCCTTATGTAGATCTTGTATATATTTTGTTAGATTCAACAGCATTTTAAAAAATTAAGTCATTTAAGTGCTTCTGAAAAATTTAAACCCACCTTTTCAACTACACTATGGGCTACATGCAATCAAAGCCAATTACAGCGTTATTTACTGCTATATATCTAGTGGTGCATGGTAGACATTTAAGAAATATTTGTTAAATGAATGAAATAGTAAATAAATGAATGCCATATATGCTGAGCTATATTATATAGTGAATATTGGAATTGTCTCCCCAATATCCATTCCAGTCCAAATGAATGGTCTAGCCATGTGATAATCAATTACTGCTTGCCAGTGATTTTTTTTTTTTTTTTTTTTGCTGAAATGTGTAGAACCACTTTTACCCACAAAATGCTAGGAGAAGTCTACTGGAAGTTTCTGGAAAAATTTTTCTCACTGCTAAAAGAGGGCAAATGAGTTTTTTTTCCTTCTTCCTCAGTCATGTTGCAGAATCTTGATCCAACATCTGGAATTTATGCAGCCATCTTGTTACCAACTCTAGTATGAAGACAACATGAAGAATGAAAGTATAGAAAGATTATTAAAAAGTAAATGTCACACTTAGTTTTGAATAATATATGGTGTCATGAATCAACCAATCTTGGAGTCTGCTTTTCCTCTGAATGTCATAGTAAGTGAGATCATAAATATCCTAGTTCTTTAAGCTAATTATAGTATTTCTATTATGGGAAAAGTTTAGATATTTTAAAATCTTTTTACTTAGAAAAGTTTTTGTTTGAGTACTACCTAAGCTAAAAACAAATATTCCCATTGGTTAGAAGCATAAAGATCCTGACACTCTTTTGTTGATACTAAGATATATCCACCTCCTCACACTCACTTTCAGGAATACACTATGTGCTTTCGTTCTGCCTTAGATAATTTTTGCATAAATATTTTAAATAGATTCTATGACATAATTAGTAAGTAATTTTGTATATCAAATTGCAATGTATATTTTCTTGAAAAAAAATCCAGAATACAATAGTCATCACCAACTTGAATTATTGACATATAAAAATAAAAACCTCAAAATTGACCTCCATTAAAAAAATCCTAAAGTGTTTCAATATCTCCTCAAGCAGTCTTTGTCTTTTTTAGTTATCAAATTTCTTTATACACACACACTCACTCCATACTCTCTGTCTCACAAACACCCCTTTAAATTCCAACAATTATCTTTGGGCTGCCTGCATAACTTTGAAATGAGGGGAATTTGAACTGTGAAGTGGATTAAAAGGTTAATTGCCTAATCTTAGCTTCCTTCCTGAAAAGACTATTTTGATCTATACAGATTTCCTCTCTGGAGGCTAGGAATGTTTTGAAATATAATTAAATAAATCAGTCTTATCTCTAAGATTAACTGCTTTTGCATAATAATTCCAATGTTAGTATTTTGACAACTGATATTTTTTACATAATTGTTTGTGGGGAAAAAAAAGCCTCTGTTTTTATGCTATTACATTTGGAAAATTATAATCTGTAAACTTTGTTTCTATAACAAATATTTTAGAAAATGTCATAAACATTTGCATAAACCTTGTATATTTTGCTCTTCAAGATACTCACAGTCTGGAAATAAGTAAACTCATCTGAAAAGTTAGAGATATTTCAGAAAACAATTCTACTTTCTATTTTTATTAAATACTTATGATGACAACATGACCCTTCAAAGGTGTTACAGAAATACTTCATTTGAAATGTTTTACATTAAAAAAACCTTTGATAGGTCCCAGTATAATTCTCTAAATTGCTGATGAAAAATTGGAATTATTATCAGCATACTGTTAACATTTAAGCATTGCACATTAAGTAGTATGAATTTGAAGCATTTTATGTCTTAAATTTCCCCAATGTGTTATTGGCTTGCATTTTCACACTTTGCTTACATGATAAAAATAAAGCTACTACTGATTTTACTTGGTGTGTTGTATCCTAAATGATCATACTTTAATGTCTACACATTTGAGTGCTTTCATTGGGTTTCAAGAATATTCAAAATATACTGTTTCTTAGGGATATTAAAACACTAAACTGAAGAAGTGACATTTACAAACTCGAGTATTGATTTCACTCCTGAATAATTTTTAGGAACTTAGAGAAATAGAGAAAAATTTGTACTAGCAGTGTTAGAATTAATGTCCTCATTTGATTAAATTATATTTTCTTTTTACCAATTTCATTGTTAGTTAATGAATTTTAATTCTCCTTCTTTTTCTAAAAGAGTAACCTTCATTAGAAAAGAAATCTGTCTGTGTTTAGACATCTCCGTGAAGAAAATGTCGTGGAAAGAAAAGTACTAAATGAAATTGTCAGGAAGGAAAGAAGAAGAAAGCCAAAATGATTGGGCCACAGGGCTTCAAGGTGGAGAAAAGTGAAACAGTAAAAGAAAAAGCAACTCCATAAGTAGTCAGAGAATAAATGGCACAATGAAAAATGCCTATATTTCTGATGCAGGAAATTTTCTAGGCCAGGGTGGAATTTATCAGCACATGAGGTGGTGATTAAAGAGAAAGAGCAAATAGAGTTGACTGAGTTAGGCTGGGAATAGTCATTACCTCATGAGAACATTTAATATGGCTTGTCTCTTAAGGCCAATAAACTAACACATGACCTGGCTGACATGAAGCACTGAAGCAAAATGGGTCAATACATCAGAGAAAGTCTAAGTAGAAAATTGGAATAGAAATTCATTTCCTATTCCCTTGGTCTTTAAATTTTTTTGAAATATAAAATCCAAAAGAGTATATTAAGAGTCCAAAGCAATATTTCTCAAACCTACTTATGGATTAGAAACACTTGGAGAGATTGGGAAATATTGATATCCAGGTACCCCAGCATAATTAAATTGCTATCAGGGCATTAGTTTTTTGTTGTTGTTTGCTTTGATTTGTTTTCTAAGCTTCTTAGGTGAGTCTATGGTTCAGTCTGGATTGTAAGTCACTAGTAAAAAGAATGATAATAAAATGAATATGCATATCCCATTATAAGCCTAAAAAATATAAAATTGCCCTTCAAAATCCTCTAGGTTATTTTTAATAGAAGTATCAGCCATTTCTTTCTCTATCCCAATCATACAAGGTATCCATATCCTACATTTTGCATTAGTAATTCCTTGTTTTCCTAATATATATATCTAAATATTTTAACTTTCAGCTTTCCTATCTTTGGCCTTTATATAAATAGAATTATACTTAATGTATTCTTCTGCAATATAATATTTCACCAAAACATTTTTGAGATTAATCTCTTTAATGAATCTAGTTATCATTCATTTTAATTGTTGATTAATATTCTATGAACATAATTCATTTTACAAAACTATCTTGTAGTACCTTCTGTAAATCAAGCCTGAGTTTTTTCTCATATTCAATTGATCATAAAGAAATCTTTGAGAGGATATTCCAGCATTCTCTACAAAGTTTCTCTCTAGAAACTTCACAAGATGCTGGGCCTCTGGAATTTTATGGGGCTTATCTTTTTTCTGGTACTTATTGTCTCCTGAGGTACTTACAAATTCTACCTAACAAGTCCAATTGCTGTGATGACAACATCATAGTAAACCAGCATGGAATAAGAAGATGAACAAGTTCTTAATAGGCTGATTATGGCATAGAGTGCGAGAATCGAAAAAGCTTTGGGGCAATGCAGTGAAGACATACTGGGCCTGTAACTGGGGTGTCTGCACACCTACACTGCTGACCACACTGGATATTCCAGAAAGCCTCTTCTTCCTGTAACACTCCACCAGCATCCTGTAGGGAGAAAGCTTAGCATTGTGCTCAGTTTAAGGGAGAATATCTGAAAGGAATCTGTTGTTTGTCACAGTGTATATCTTAAAGGGAGCATTTGACTGGGATATTATAAACTGAAAACTGGCAGTGTAGGCATTAAGAAAATAGACAGGATAATTCAGTCAGTTGAGTCAGCCAACTTCTATCATCCACTAGTCTGATGCTAGTGCAATAGGCTCATGCATGAAACAGCAATAGTGTGAGGAATGGTGTTTGCATGGGTTCCGCTTCACTAATAGTGCCCCTGTTCAACATTTAACCTGCCAGCGAAAGAGACCAATATTGTACCCCAGTATGGTACTATCCTTTGAGGAGACCAGCTGGTTACTTGATAGGAAATCGAGTATATCAAATTTCTTACATCCTGACAGTCAGTTCTTTATCTTGACAGGAACTAACATATATTTCAGATATATGATTGTCTTTCTTGTGGGCAGAGCTTCAGTCATCACCACTCTATGAGGGTTTATAATTGCTTGACCCATTAACAGGATATGTGGTATATCGTACCTAGTGCCAAGAGCCTCTCTAATGCACAGGAGTTGCAACGGAGAGCACGTCTTGGGACCATCTACCACACCACCAGAAACTGCTGACCTGATAGAGCAATGGTGTGGTTTTTTGAAGGAGAAGCCAGGGTGCCAGCTTGGAAATGGCACTCTGTAAAGATGGGGCACTATCCTCTGGGAGGTAGCATACATACACTCTGATTAGCAATCATTAAAAAGTGTTCTGTCACCAGTAGTTACAATACAAGAAACCAGAAGGAAGGGCTGGATACAAGAATGACCCCCCTTACTATCACTCTTGGTGATCCACTTGAAGATTTTATATTTTCTGGGCCTGCAACTTTAGGTCTAGAGATTCTTATTCCCAGAGAAGAAACACTTCCACTAGGTGGCACAGTAAGGTTCCTGTGACATTTTATGCCATAGTTTCTGCCTGATTACTTTGGGTTTCTCAATCTAAGAGACCAGCAGGCAAGTACAGGAGTCACCATGCTGACAGGGCTAATTGATTCTAATCCTTAGGAGAAGGTAAAGTTTCTGTTGCACACTGAAGGTAGGGAAGAATATATTGGCACCCAAATGATCAAGTTGTGCGTCACTTGATTTCCTTGCCCAATATTGAAGGCAAATGGATAAGGGGAGCTGCCGTTGACAGAGAAAGGTATGGAAAAAAGGCTGAGTGATAAGTGTTTGGGCCACTTCACTATATAAGCCATCTTTATGAGTAGAAGCATTAGCCAAAGGTGAACTTGAAATAGTTAATAGAGAAGGGAAGGACAAACATCAGCTGAAACTCAAAGAATACCTGCAATACTGAGGGCTGTGAGGTGACCATTAACACTGTGCTTATAAATTAAGACAAGAAAAGAGATCCTACGCTGGACGCGGTGGCTCAAGCCTGTAATCTCAGCACTTTGGATGGCTGAGGCGGGCGGATCACCTGAGATCAGGAGTTTGAGACCAGCCTGGCCAACATTGGTGAAACCCGTCTCTACTAAAAATACAAAAAAATTAGCCGGGCATGGTGGCGTGCACCTATAACCCAGCTACTCAGGTTTCGGGGGTGGTGGCGGGGCGACTGAGACAGGAGAATCATACCACTGCACTCCAGCCTGGGTGACAGAGTGAGACTCCATCTCAAAAGAAATATTAAAAAAAAAAAAAAAAAAGAAAAGGGATCCTAGAGAAATTGTTCCCAGGTGGGTAAACTTTCATTTTAAAGAATGGATTAAGCACACAGGTGTAAACTATAGTGTAGGCTGCAATGAACCAACCAGGTGGCCCACTTATTCCCTCAGCTGTGAGGAATGTTGACTGCAGACAACTCACCGCTAAATCCCTTGCTTGCCATGGCCCTCACCAAAGAGAGATGTTTGGCCCAAATTTATGCCTCCTTCCAGAGGCAGCTGCACTGACAGGTCCATGTAGAGGTAAAAATGCCCAGTTCCTTTGTGTCAGTTTGGGACGTCTCTGAAAGGCCATCCCAGTTCCAGAGTACCTACAGGATTCACTAAGACCTTTTCTTGCAACTGCTTCTCAATTTTAACTACTTCTGCTCAATCTTAACTTCACTCACTCCTTTACAATGTTGTTTCTGAGAGCCCTCCCTATAAATCTCCTGAATGTAGATCTTTTCATCACAATCTGTTTTCTGGTACACTTGAACAAAGACAATATCCTACAATTTTTACATTCTTGTATGTATGTGTTTTCCCATTATCTTTTTCTTCTTGTGTTTTTAAAACCTGTTTTCTACATTCTGTTTGCAAATTTGCCCTGTTTTCAGCTGTGTTCAGTCAACTCGTGTCTTCAACTTCTTTGTTAACTTCTTAGCTTCACATATTTTCTTTTTTCATATACAGAGTGTTTATTTGGTCATCTTTTATATAGATTTTCATTTCTCTTGTAAATTCTCTAGGCTTTGATCTCTTTTGCCACTTTTCATGTATTGGTTTTACCATATTAAACATAGGTTTTGAAAGTCATTGTTTGCAAACTCCAATATCTGGGTCATCTCTCCTCTCCTTTCCTCACAAGTATTGGTCATCTTTTCTTGTCTCCACATTTTTACTAATTTCTTAATGTACATTGGACACTATGTAATGTAACTCAAGATGATGATGTAATCTTCCTATGTTGGCAAATAGAGAGGCTTGCAGCAGTTCAATCCAATCA